TTGAGTTCCAGGAGTGCAGTTTTCTGGGCCCCCACGGGCTGAGGGGCTGAATGACTGGTGGAGTGAGAGGACCCTGGAGACCAGAATTGTGGAGGCTTCCTTTGCAGGAAGACAGTGCCCTCATTCTTGCACCTGGGCTGAGAACTCAATGCCAGTGTGGTGTAAGTGGACCCCTGGCAAGGAACAAGTCCCAGGGTTTGGCACCTGCTCCAAAGTGCGCCCAGCACTTTAGAAAAGAATTACCAGGTCCGATTCTCTCCATCCCCAGGGATGCAAGAGAGTGAGGTGGCAGGTGTCGCCTCACAAAACAGGGTGGCTTTGTGACAGTGAGGTGCTGAGGGAGAGACTCAGGCTGGGCCTTGTGACACCCAGGAGCTGTGGACTCGCTGGAGGGTAACGGAGGTGGGGGGCAGCCAGGGCTCTGCGTTTAAAATATTCAACCTTTGAAAATTAGCTTGGTTGGGGGGCTGACCCAGCTAACTCCATGGCGAAGGGTTCCTTGCCTTCTCTGAGCCTTGGTTTCCTCCTCTGTAAGATGGGGTGCAGGCTCTTGCCATCTCACACGCATGCGCGCGCCGCGCGCGCACACACACACACACACACACACACACACACACACACACACACACATGGAGCCTCCTGAATCAGACTGCCTGGAGTCCACTTACAAACCTGCCACCTACCAGCTGTGTATCTTAACCTGTCCAAGGCCTCAGCTTCCTTCCTCATTTGTAAAACAGGGACCTCGCTCTTCCCTGACCTCAAAGGACTATTATAAGGCGTAAATGAGACCATATCAGTAAGTTCTGATCAAAGTGTTCAGCACTGGGATGTGCTCAATAACTGTTTGCTACAATTATTAGGTTAATTTTTGTTTACTAAGCACTTATATGCCAAGAACTGTGCTAGGCATTGAAGACACTCCCTGAATAAGTCATAGTCCCTGTTCTCATGGTCTTTACAGTCTAATGGTGGGGGCCGGGGGTGGCGGGGCGTGGTAAATAAAGACACCTAGAGACATCACTCCAGGTTTCAAGGACAAATATCCCAAGGTCCTACTCTCACCTCATCCAAGTTCAGAATTCAAACCTGTCTGTGTGTAAGATACAATATCTCCCTTCTCTCTGCCAATTCAAAGCATTGTGCATAGAAGTGCCCTCGATGTGTCCAAAAAAATCTACGTTGTGAAGGTGTCAAAAGCACAACATATAAATTGACAAGTCACTGTTGGCAATATCTACTATAGCTAAACATTCACCTACCTTACAACCCAGCAATTCTACTACTGGGCATCTGCCCCAGATACAAGCACCCATGTTTACCCAAAAACTCACAGAAGGATATGCAAGCAGCTTTATTCATGGTGGCCCCAAAGTGGAAACCACCCAAGTGTCCATTCGCAGGAGGATGTATAACAAAACTGTGATATAGCCACAAATGGAATACTTAATTGAGCAATAAAGAGGAGTGAACTCCTGCTATAGGCAACAACAAAGATGCATCTCAAACACATGGCTGGGTGATGAAGCTAGACCCAAATGAGTAAATGTGATTATCCCGTTTATGTGAAGTTCCCGAACAAGAGAAATGCATCTATGGTGATGGAGGCCAGAATAGCGCTCACCCTGGGAGAGGTGGGTATTGGCTGGGGAGGGGCACAGTGAACCTTTTAGGATGCAGGGAATGTTTCCTATCTTGATTTGGGAGGAGGTTAAGTAGGTGAACGCATGTAAAACTCCACTGAGCTGCACACTTCAGTGTACTTGTGCTACACCTCAATTTTTAAATGTTTAAAAATAAAGCAAGTCCCTTGAAAGTTGGCTGGTGTGCAAGGAAGACTCTGGTGGATGTGGGTTGGGTCCATGGTCTCCCTGACACTTTAAAATTGCCTCTAGGGGACTCAATCAGGGCACAAAAAAGAGGTAAGTGGAGGCCACAGGAAGGACTAGAGAAATGCAGATATCTTCAGCTTCGACCAAGATTGAGTTGTGTTCAGCCATATTTGGGTATATTGCACGTTATACAACAGTATTTCCTCTGGAAATTGTGTGTGCTAACTTTCACTAACCAAAATCATAAGGAAGCCAGCATCTCCCAGTTGCTAAACAGTGTGAACAAATGAGAATTGGCTGTATTTCTCAGCACAGTCCTTGGAAAAGACCCTCGGTCGTCAGCAATACGTCAGCAAAGACCCAGGTGGAGTCTCTCGCTCACTAAACCACAGTCATCGCGGGGAGAGAGGCCTCCACCCGGTCACTGAGGCTGTATCGGACACAGGTTGGCCTTATTTTCCAACAAGGCTTTCATGCAAAGGGGGTTGGCAGGCGTGCAAGGGATATTTCTTTGAACTCCAAGTCTGGGAGCTGCTCCTTGTGAGATCCTGGCTTTGTAATGTTAATGATGCCCTTGGGACCCAGCCCCACTTCTCAGGTCTGTGTGGGGAGATGTGAGAAGCAGCTCGGATCCCCTTTGAACCCCCTGGAGTAGGTCCCTTTTCTAAGTCCTGGAATTCTCTTCCACAGATGAGGTTACTTGTCCTCTTAATCCTTTTGTTTAAACACACACACACCACACACACACACACACACACACCACACACACAAGAGATTTGGCCAAACTCCAACCTCCCTCCCTTTTCTATGTCCTCCTTGGTGGTAGAACTCAAAACGGGAGTCACCAGGGGAAACGCCAGGGCCCCAGGCCCTTCTGCCCACCCTGGATAATCCCTGGGCCGCACTGGGTGGAGCCTCCCGTGTTCTGGCCCTGGCTTACTCCCTGGGGAATGACGCCCTTTCACCAGACAGCCTAGAGCTCCTCATGTGGGTGCATTCACTCATTCAGTTATTCATTCATTCTTTCAATAAGTCTTTCTTAGACACGTACTCTGAGCCCAGCTCTGGGGTAGGCCCTGGGGAGACAGCTGCGAACATGGCCCAATCCCCGTGTCCAGCTGAGCATAGGGTGGGGGAAACAGGGCTGAAACGATCATAACTCGGCAGGGAATATTAATATAGGGGAGTCGGGGGTGCTGTGGGAGCACATGTCCAAGGGGGACCTCCCGAGGAGGTGGCATTTCCTCCAAGACCTAAAGGATGAGAAGGAGTGAGCCAGGCAGAGTTGGGGGAGTGTCCTGGGTAAAGGGAACCATCCCCACGACAGCTGGGAGGTGAGAGAAAGCAGGGCTTTCAGGGAACCCAAGTAGTTCTTGGTGTGGGGTGCAAGGGGACCTGGCCCCCATTTCCTCCCTGACCTTCCCTCATTTGACTGCCCCTGTGTTCCCAGCACTCCAGCCACCCTGGCCTCCCTGCTGTTCCCTGAACCTGCCTGGCTCACCCCAGCCTCAGGAATTTGCTCTAACACTCTCCCCCATGACATCTGTTCGGCTAACTCCCTGCTTCCTTCAAGTTTGTGCTCACCTCTCACCTCCTCAATGAGATCTATTCATCACCACGTAGTGTCCCCACTTCCCATGAGCCACGCCCTCCCCCTCCTCTACTCCTCCTTTGTCCCCCTCGTATGCACCTTCTATCACAATATCTACTCCTCTGACTCCCTCTCCTCGTCTATCTCCCCCACTGAGAACGTGAGCGCCGCAAGGACAGGGCCCTCTGTTGTGTTCACTGAGGCATCCCAAGGCCTTAAACGTTGGAAGGAAGAAGTAGATGGGATGTGAGAAGCTGGCAGGGAGGGGCCAGATTGCAGAGGCCTCGTAGGCCAGGGGAAGGCACGTGGGCTTGATTCCCAGTGCACAGGGAAGGCACTGAAGGTTTGGAGTCGGGGAGAGTCAGGGTCTGAGTTACATATTAAAAGCTCACTCTGGAGTGTGTGTGGAGAACAGCTGGAAGGAGAGCAAGCCACTGTGGGTACCACACATGTGGTGGTGCTACCCAGGCTGGGGGCAGGGAGGAAGTGGACAGGCGCCAGAGATCCACCAGGAGGAGAATTCACCATGCCTCGGTGATCTGAGGACTGTGAGGTTGCTGAAAAACAGGGCAAGGCAAACACCCAGGCTCCTGGCCTGAGCAACACTGTAAGAGGGGAGCCACTTGCAGAGATTAGGGAGACGGGGAAGGAACAGGTTGAGGGCCGGGGTGGTCAAGAGTTCTGTTTGGGCCATGGTGAGTTTCTGGTGCCTACTAGACTTTCAAGTGGAGATGTCAGGTAGCCAATTGGACAAGGTAAAAGCTCAGAAGCAAAGTCTGGATGGAAAATATACATTTGGGGAACGTTGGCTTACAGCTATTTTTAAAGGCCTGAGAGCATAGAGGGAGAAGAGAAAATGTCCAAGAACTGACCGAGAGGACCAAGCCCTGAAGCCTTCTGAATGGCCCTTGAGGAATGAGGGGCTTGCCAGGAAGGTGGGCAGAGAGCAGTCCAGGTAGAAGGAACAGCACGGGCACGCGCTCACGTAAAAGAACATGGATCTCAGGACTCTTCAAAACTGTGAACATCATCAAAAGCAAAGAAAGTCTGAGAAACTGTCACAGCCCAGGGGAGCCTACGAGGACGAGACAAGTCAATGTGATGCATTCTGGATGGCATCCTGAAACACAAAAAGGACATTAGGTAAAAACTAAGGGAATGTGAATAAAGTATGGCCTTTAGTGAGTAATAATGTATCAATATTTGTTCATTAATTATGACAAATGTATGATACTACATACATGTACAGCCTCATACATGTAAGGTGTTAATAACAGGGAAACTGGGTGTGGGGTATAAGGGAACTGTATGTACTATCTTCTTAATTCTTCTCTAAATCTAAAACTGTTCTAAAAAATAAAGCCAATTTTTTAAAAAACAGCATGAGTCTCATAATCCCCCGCGCCAAACCACGCGTTCCAAGGACTATAGCAACTTTTTTCTCTGGAGAGGACTTTGGCCCTGGCCAGACCTTCCTGTGGCCAAAAGACTCAGGGATATTATGAATAGCCCATCACCCCTCCCCCTGCCAGGGAACAGAGGATCCTCACCTCCACCTGCTTTCTTTCTGTTTACAGAAAGAATACTCTCCTCGGGCCCGATTTCATAGTGAAAATGAGAAGCAGAAGCTAAACGACTCAGGTGAGTCAGACCGGCGGAGAATTCTTCAGGTGCAACCAGAGTTAATCCTTTCCGCATGCTCCACTAAAGCCCATCCCTTAGCCACAGTTTTCCTGAATCCCGCTTTGCTCAATGGCTGATTTGGTTTCCCCCTTGCCGCAAAAGTTTCGGCTCCCTCTGGGTTCAAATTCCAGCTCCACTACTAACTAGTTATGTGATCTTGGGCAAGTCACTTGAGCCCTATTTTCCTCATCCCTAAAAGGGGCATAACCATAGCTCGATCAAAGGGCTATTGAGTGGATTGAGATGAACTGTAAATTGGGTATAATTTCATCCTCTGAAGAAAAGATATGAGATAGTGAATGGCAAAGTTCTGGCATCGTGCCTGGCACTCGTGATGGCTGGTTGTTGACAAGAGATGTGATCAGTCTGGCCAATCAGTTAGGCCCCCAGAGATCAAGTGTCACCTTGGGACCCTGGGTGGTGCCTGAGGTGTGTCAGGTGGATCCCTGGGACACTGGATGGTGTCTGAGGAGCAGAGAAGTACAAGGATCTGAGTCAGAGCAAAACTGGGCCTGGGCAGTCAGCCAAAGAGGGCTTGACCAGCAGCTGGCCTAGGAGATGACACAGAGGCAGAGGGAGGTGGTGCTGTGTGGCTGAGACCCCAACAGCAGCTCAAGATTCCCTGGTCCCCCCAGGCACAGCCTTGAACAGAGACAATCCAGTACCCTGGACAGCTCCAGAGATCTCTAGATTTCAGGGGCACAAGTTTTGCGGGCTGAGACCTGGGTTGGATTTGGCTGTGCAAGCATGACCAAACCACTTCACCTCCCTAAGTCTAAATTACCTCACCTCTAAACTGGAGGTGATGCTTACTTATGTTTCAGGGCTGGTGTGAAGAGTAAATGAGATAAAAGGAGGTAAAGAGGCAGTAGGGCAGAGTGGCCCATGTCTGAAAGTCAGGCCACCTGAGCTCATTTCCCAGCTCCACCCTGTGTGACTTCAGAGAAGTTGCTTAACCTCTCTGAGCCTCGGGTTTTCTCTAATCTGCGAAATGGGAATGCTAATAGATCCTACTTCATAAGGTTATGAAGATTAAACTAAACAAGACATGAAGCATGCAATAAACAGTTTTTGTTTTAGAAGAAACTTAGCACAGCACCAGACACAAAATAGATAATCAAAATTGTCAGCTTCTTATATCTTCCAAAACCACCAGGTTGACTTTGCCCCTCTCACCTTTAGACTCTTTTGATTGGTTCTCCCAACTGACTGTTAAAGGCACTCCACAAAGCCAGGAAGTCAATCCGGTGGATCCCACAGGCCTCCCCCCTCAACCTTCTTCCCCCAGCAAAGCCCCCTGCCTCTCAGTGCCACCCGCTCCAGGATGCTTGGGACACTTTTTTTATAAAGTACCAGTCTATCCGGTATATACTGATATATTGTGTAGTGTTGGTTCTGTGCCAGCCGTTGTTCTAAGCGAGATGTATAACAGACAGATGAGAGATAGAGCTATCCGGTTAACCTCACAACCCTGCGACAGACGTACTCTGGTTATCCCCATTTTCCAGATGAGGAAACAGTTTCTTGGAGATCAGGTAACTAGGTTGTGGGGTCACACAGCTATTAGTTGGTGGCGCTGGGATCTGATCCCAGGTATGACACTTCAGAATCCCATGTCTGCTGGTAGCATTCAGCGAGGCCAAGGGCCACAGAATGGAGAAGAGTAGGCGGGAGCTGGAGGCTGCAAGTCAGGACACACTGTTCCCGCCTTGGCCCCGGAGCCCCGGGCCGGGCGTCCTCCCGCCAGAGCTCACTCGCGCCCTGCCTGCTACCTGGGCGCAGATACCTCCCGGCCTCGCCCCGGCCCCCCTTCCCCCGGCGACGTCTCCGGCCGGCCCCTCCCGCCGCGCGGTAACCCGAGCCGCGGCGGGGTTCGGGCCGCGGACCGGCGTCACAGTCGCGGAGGCGCTCGGGCTCGGCCCCCGCCCCGCCGCGCTCTGGCCGCGCAGTGCCGGCTCCGCAGTCGGGCGCGCGGGCGCATGGCGCAGAGGCTGGGCGAGTGGGCGCGGGGGCCCGCAGAGGCCACCGGGCTGTACCGGGCCGTGCTGCTCAGGTCGGGTAAGTGGGGGCAACGCCCCCCGGCCCCACCGTCCCCGCGGGGAGTCGCGAGGAGGGCGCTGGGTGCACTGCGCCAGCCCCCGGCCCGCCCGCCGTGGCGCCTCTGTCCTGCGTAGCTCTGCTTTCCTCCCTTTCCATTAGCCTTTCAAATTAGTTTTTTTCCCCTGTCTCCTTTCGTTCCTTTTTTCCTTCCCTCTTTCCTCTTTTCTTACGTATATTGCTTTCTGCCTATGCCGGAGAACACATTCAGTTTCTTAACTTCAGAAGTCCTGCGAGGTTGCATTTCTGCAGAGACTCAGCGAAGGCGTCTGGGGGCGGGAGGTGTGGGCCGCGACAGCAGACACCGCGCGACCCGAGGAGCAGCAGGCAGGGGGGCGGGAAGAGGCACAGACCGGCATCGGGCTGGTGAAGGACTTCTGGTGTGCAATGGGGCGTGACACAAAGCGGGGAGCAAGTTACAGGCAGGAGAGGAACCGCTTTCTGTGGGTGCATGCAGCGATGTGCAAGGAAACACGGTGGTTTTATCTTTTGAGGATGGGGGTTGGATGACAGGTGTGTTTTTCTCTTACGTCTTTTGATGTGCTTGTTTGCAGTGAGCACGTATTACCTTTCTACTCAGGACAACAAGAGGATTTTTTATTTAGAAAAATGAAGTAAACGTAGTATACGATCAGTTTCCAAGTAATTTGGAAAACACGGGCGTGTAGAAAAATGAAAAAGAATGCCCTCTGTAAGCGTTTGGGCTGTTTCCTTCCGGACTCTGTGCTTGGAGAGAGGTGTTTGGAGGTGATAAGCAGCTTGGTGCGTGGGTCCTTGCCAGTGGGGGGTTCGCGATTACAATGCGTCAAGGGACTTGGGCTCACGGGCCAGCTACCCTCTTCTTGGGCGAGGAGCAAGCCCGCCCGCCCGTAGTCCTGCCGGCAGACCCCTGGAGCCAAAAGCGCGAGTCGAACCGGCTGCGCGGGTCCCCTGACCCCGCGGAAACTGATTGCCCTCCCAACTTAGGCTGGCGCCTCCCGCGGAGATCCCGCCGCCCAGTGACTGCGGTGAGAACACTGGAACATTGATTGGAACGGTTCTCTAAGTCCGAAAGTAAGAACTGGCCCAAACTTCAGGACTGGTGGCGCCTTCCTAAGGGAGGGTCTCAAGTGTGGCTGAGATAGGCAGACAGAAAGGGAGGGGCTCTATAATCAGATGAATCTGATTTCAAATCCCAGCTCTGGCGACTTCCCCACAAAGCAATCTAAGTGTCCCCCACCCAGTTCTTATCTGCTCACAAAGCTGCGGAGGGGGTGACCCTAATCGGAAGACCTTGCGTTCCCCCTATGCTGGCGCCGCAGCTATGAACCTCACTCTTTAGCTTTCAACCTGTCCCGAATAGCAGACACATCAGAGCCGTTTAGGTACCACATGCTTGCCCCATACCTGTGCCACAGGCCAGGAAGGGAAGGAAGGGTTCCGAGTGCTTCATTGGGGAAGCGCTTGACTGTATGCTAGGCACTGTGTGGTGGCTCACTCTCTCGTCACGACTCTACAGGGACACTGCTAATTGTCATCTCCATTTACTAGAAGAGAGGCTGAGGCTCAGAGGGCTTGAGCAACTTGCCCACGGATGCTCAGAAAGGTTTTCTACCCCACAAAGAGACAGAAAACACATTCGGACTTAGGTCCATCTATGCCAAAGTCTGCACACCTTAGAATAGTGATAATAATGGCAAATGATTGTTAGTCGCTGGTTATTGCCGTCTCTCTGCCAAATGCTGTACACCTCATCTCATCAACTCTGTTCGTTCATTTATTCACTCAGCTAATATTTATTGACCTCTATTATGCCCTCTGCTCTCTGCAAGGCATAGGGATGTATTGATAAAACAGGTATGTCCTTCCTCTCAGGGAGGTAAGTAATGTTAACTTCTACTGGAAACGAGGAAACTGGGCTCAGAAGGTAAAATGACTTCTCCAAGGTCACACAGCTCGTCAGGGAGGGGTGAGATTCGAACCAGGGCCGTGTGCCTCTGGAAGCACTTTTCTGGCTGTCTCACACAGAAAGCAAGAAGTGAGGATGGGAGTAGAGGCCACCGCGGTGGTGTGGTGAAGGGGCGTGCACTGCTTGGAAAGCCTCGCAGAGGAGAGTCTAGAATAAAACCCGAGATGGCCATTGTCATTACAGCAGCCCCACAGTCATGCACCAAGTATTGTAACACTTTTAGAGAAATGTTCATCCCAGGTTATTTCAAAATAATGTCTTAATATTAAAGTGATACATGTTCACAATAGATGTTTGGGGAAATTGAGAATAAAGAGGGAAGCTTAGCTCATAATCGCACAACCCACAAGCAGCCACTGGTGACATTTGGAAATGTCTCCTTCCAGCGTCTGCTACATACAGGTTGTGTGTGTGTTTGTTTTACACTGTTGAGATTGTACTGACTGTAGTCTTTAACTCTGCTTTTTCCACTTGGATGAAAATCTTTAATGCTCTTAAATTATCCAGATAATAACCAGCACTTGTGGAGCCCTGACTCTGTGGCAGGCACTGTGTAAAGGGCTTTCTGTACCCCATCTGCTTTGTTTCTCAAAAGCACATGTGCCCCATTTTAGAGATGAGGAAACAGGGAGTCAAAGATCACCTAGCTGTCCAGCAGTGGAGCTAGGATTGGGACCTGGGTTGATGCTAGAGCCCATGCTCTTAATTTCTGGGCCGAAGGCTCATCCCTGTGGAATAACTCGTGCTGGGCCATGCCTGGAAAGCTACACAGCCCTGTAGCAAAAGTCCACCTGAGGTGTGTTACTTGCATCCTACCTGGAGCTCAGGCCAGGTTCCTGGTGGGGAGGAAAGCATCTCTCTGCAGGACGGACAAACGGGCACCTCCCCAGATGCCTATGGACACCAGCAAATA